ATATATATATATATATATATATATATATATATATATATATATATATATATATATATATATATATATATATATATCTGACATTCACATGTCGTATCATATCGTAAACACTTCGTGGTCATGTCGTTCCTAATTTAACATAGTCTTGACGTTCTTATACATATCACAGTCGTATCTTTGCATGAATGTACCTTAGTCATATCGTTAAAGGGACGTATCTTAATATCATTCTATCAATCTATCATAATCCTATCCCTTTCTATCCATAACTTAATCATATTCTTTTATTAATTGATCGTGACCATATTGTTTTATCAATCTCTCATATTCATAGCATTACGATACGTAACCTAACCTTAACATTCCTTGGACATATCTTACTCCTATCATTACATTACGTTTAGTGCATCCTTCTAGAATCCTATCTCAAACATTTCATTAAACACATCGTGCTGTAAGTATTATCATACAATTCACATATTATAACATATACACAACATATCATAAGCATATTGATCCACAGCCAATTCACACATATCAATATATATGACATGTGTAGAACTACAGGGCACATGTAACATCAAATATAACCATGCCGATAGTATGACCACTTACTTGATTAACTTAGGTTGGTGTCACAAATTTGTCTTTAATAAAAATTCGATTTTTGTTCTATGTATCCAAGTCAACCTACGTGAACCCATGATATCAATTTCAAGTTCAATTCTTTATATTTTATAATGCTCGAGTAATAGTATTAGACGTAATTAAAGGTTAGGTGTTGAGGAGAGATTTTGGGAAGAGACATGAGAGATTGGTGGAGGGAGGAATCGGTTACCTTTTTTTAATTATTATTATTTATTTATTATTATTATCTTATTTTTATTTTTATTTTTTATTTTTAGGGTTGTTACATAATTATTACAATATGATATTTAACTAATTTTAGTTTATTATTATCAATTTGAATTAAATAATTATTCCTTAAATAATCAAAATAATTGATTATCAATAGTAAAAAAGTAATTAGCTAAAGTAAACTAACTAAACATAATTAACTAAATATACTTGTATTTGTTGAAATGAATTAAATATATATCTAAATAGATTATTATTGATTTATCTTAATGAAATAATTAATTGTATTTTGATAAATTACAATCGATTAATTAATTAATTATATTTAAAAAAAAAAAAAAATAAATAAAAAAATCAAGAAAGGCTAAACAAAGCATGGTTTTTAGTAAATTAGATTATTAAAATAATTTGAAGAAATTAAAATTTTAATAATTATGTTGAAATAAATAAATTTAATAAATATAGGTTTAAAATGGCGGTCTCCATTGGTACCCTCGATTCCGTCGTCAAAAGTGTTGTTATTATTTATTTCGTTTTCGCATTCAAACAAAAAAAAATATTGTATTTGTTAAATAGTTCCTGACCGTTTCGACAGCTAAATAAACAAAACATTTCGATCCTTTTCGATTTCGTTCCGATCTCATCCCGTTTCGATTTTCGATTAGCAAACTGCCAACTGAATTTGCGAATGGATTGAATGTGCTAAGATTTGTGAAGGAGATCGCGACATTGATCGCTTGTTTCTCTTGCGAAGCACAATGACGCGTAAGAATGGCGGCCTAGCCACTGAAATCCACCAAATACTCTCCTCCTCGGATTTCAACTTCCATTGGTGAGCTACCTTACCTCATTCGTTGACTAACCAAGCCGCGCTACCCCATTTTCCATAGATTATTAATATTTTATGCACTAACGTAACCTTTTCCTTCTTTTCTTGCAGTGGGTTTGTTGATTGAGATCAAATTCATTGACTGATCTTCCCTTGTTCCGTTTTGAGGGTGCTGCTTTGTTCTTGTTTTGCTTTGATTTTGAGTTTGATTTCTCTGTTTCTTCGTATGATTTATTCTTGATCTTCAATTATGATGTGCTTTGAGATTGTGGTTTCTGTTTATTTTCTCGTTAATTGCTTGATTTCAAATCACTGGTGGGTCGAGATTGTATTATGTTGTCTCCTTTGCTGCTTGTATTGTCTATGCACCATTTGGGAAGTCTTAGCCTTACTCCAAAGTCTATCTTCATTAATTGTTGGAAAGCTTTGCCCTGCCCCCAAAGTCAACTCCAAATATTCCAAGTTCTTACTATCATGGAGGTTTTTCAGAGTCATGTTAACCACAGAAGTTTATGTATTTTTTGAGTTGAGCGTCTAAGCTAGCTTGCATGTTTGTAGATTATTCTAATAGGACAATCATCCGACCTTATGTATTATGTTGACTTCCTCAGCTCAAAATTTTTTGCTTCTCTTTTGTTGCTGCTTGTATTTTCTATGCACCATTTGGGAAGTCTTAGCCTTAGCCCAAAGCCTATCTTCATTAATTGTTGGAAAGCTCTGACCTGCTCCAATGTTAACTTCAGATACTCCAAGTCCTTACTGTCTTAATTTTATGTATTGAGTTTTGAGTGTCCAAGCTAGCTTGCAGGCTTATCGACTATTCTAACGGGACAATCAACTGATCCTATTACATTTGATTGAACTTAATCCTTCTAAGTTCTTTGCTATCAACTTCGACTCTTATTGACCACTAGGCCAACTCAGTTTTTTTAGTTATATTAACCATACAAGAAATTTGTAGCTAGCAAGTCTAACTTCTATGTGATTTTGTGTCCTTTCTTTTGTTCTGTTTTTCTCCCTTTTCTTTTCCCTCGTTCACTTGTTGTTTATGCAGAAACGAACTTAACTGAACTCATGGAGGACAAGTGTGCAATCAAGACTGATGCCACTGAAGTAATATTTACTTACTGGGTTGTTTGTCTTTTCTCTTTTCCTCTTCTTGATGGATGGTTTCTTGGCCTGCAGCTAATAGGCAATACCCCTATGGTCTATCTCAACAAAATTGTCGATGGCTGCTTTGCCAAGATTGCTGCTAAACTGGAGTCAATGGAGCCTTGTTCGAGTGTCAAAGATCGGTAAATAGATACTCCATTAATACAGTGAATTCATTAATATAAAATCTCTGTTTTGATAGTTCAAAATGGTGAATTTTTATATGTTTTCTTGTTAAATCTCTGAATTGCAGGATCGCGCTCAGTATGATACAAGATGCAGAGGATAAGGGCCTTATAACACCAGGGAAGGTAAATAATAATGTGCCACGAGCAAATGTTATACTCATTCAATTCTTAATCTTTCTTTCTGTGAGATCCAATATTGGTTGGGGAGGAGAACGAAACCATCTTTATAAGGGTGTGGAAACCTCTCCCTAGCAGACGCGTTTTAAAGCCTTGAGGGGAAGTCCGAAAGGGAAAGTCCAAAGAAGACAATATCTGCTAGCGGTGGGCTTGGGCCGTTACAAATGGTATCAGAGCCAGACAACAGGCAATGTGCCAGTGAGGAGGCTGAGCCCCAAAGGGGATTGACACGAGTCGATGTGCCAGCAAGGACGCTGGCCCAGGGGAGTGGATTTGGTGGGAGTCCCACATCGATTAGAGAAAGGAATGAGTGTCAGCGAGGACGCTGGGCCTTGAAGAGGGGTGGATTGTGATCCCACATCGGTTAGGGAGGAGAACGAAACACTCTTTATAAGGGTGTGGAAACCTCTCCTAGAACGGAACACCCTTTATAAGGGCGTGGAAACCTCTCCCTAGCAGACGCGTTTTAAAGCCTTGAGGGGAAGTCCAAAAGGAAAAGCCTAAAAATGACAATATCTGTTAGCGGTGGGCTTGGGCCATTACACTTTCAATCTGCAAGTAACAGTAGGCACCAAAATGCCATACATATTTTGTATATATATATAGAAAGAAAGTCATACATATTTACGTGAGATCTTGTACGTTTTTTGAAGTATAAATTTTTTATATCAATTTCATTCTTTATTGTTTTATCATTTGCCAATACATGAATATTTGTGTTTAACAATTATTTTCTTAGTATATTATCAAACTTCCATGTAACTTTATTATATTTGCTTTTGGTAACAAATATATGTAAGGCTTTTTAAATTTTGAATTAACTTATCAAATTTATCTTTCAACCTTTTCATATCTCTAAGTTTACCTATTTTCAAAAGCTTGAGATTATGGGTACTGACTTTTTGTTTGTTTGTGGGGTCAAAGAGTGTTCTCATTGAGGCCACAGCAGGAAACACCGGCATTGGACTGGCATGGATTGCTGCAATCAAGGGGTACAGACTTATTCTCGTAATGCCAGCTTTTTTCAGCATGGAGAGAAGAATTCTGCTACTTGCTTTTGGAGCCGAGTTGCATGTCACCAACCCAGAAATGAGTGGTGATGCAATTCTAAAGATTGCTGAAGATCTTGAAAAATCCACTCCCAATGGATATTTTCTGAGGCAATTTGACAATCCTGCCAATACAATGGTAATTTTCTGATGGGATATATCCTTTGATTATAGCCCATGTTTGCACCTGTATCAGTCTTTGATCTGTCGAAAAGATAATTCATTAATTTTTTTAAAAATTTCATTAGATTCACTACGAAGCAACTGGGGTCGAGATATGGAAAGATTCAAATGGAAAAGTCGACGCGCTCGTGGCTGGGATTGGGACGGGGGGGACACTAACTGGTGCAGGGAAGTTCCTTAAGGAGCAGAACCCAAAAATCAAGGTTGGTTTAAATAGTTTGGGATGTCCTTTGAAATAGGAGAGTTTTTAAGCAAAACGCATTTTTCATGAAAGCAGCAGTCCTTTAAATTGCTTTCATAAATGGTTTTAAGGATGAATTTGAGATGACTTCAGACGTACAAAAAGTTCCTTTAATACAGCTTTTATTCCATGAAAAGCACTTTTCTAAATTTTATAGTTATTCCTATGGCTCAAAAAGTGTTTGAAATGTAGGTATATGGAATAGAACCAGTTGAAAGTGCAGTGTTGAGTGGAGGACAACCCGGTTAGTACATTGCTATATACCTTTCCTATTCTTTATTGGCCTCCTCAAGTGCTGAACATTGTCATGTTCTTGCTTTGAAGGCCGCCATCTCATACAAGGGATTGGTGCTGGTATCATACCTTCGATTCTGGACGTCGAATTGCTGGACGAGGTTATTCAAGTAAGTCAAAAAAACTGGACGAGGTTATTCAAGTAAGTCAAAAAAACCAATCTTAATGGCAGTGGCTAGAATCTAGATGAGCTGTGCAGCTTGATCTCTTATAATTTTGCAAAATTAGCCACTCATTTTCATCCTTTTGAGTTACTAGATTAAGCAAATTGATATGAACCAAGAGACATCAATCATACAATATGCTTCAATGAAGATGTGAAGAAAATATTGTTGAAATTATCAAAAGATATTTCAATTCATGCCACATTGAAGAAGAATGAAGTTTCATGTTTTAAATTTTGGGTGGATTACAATTTAGAGTTATTTAGAGTTATTGTATTTCATTAATGATTGAAGTATATTGTATGATTGATGTCTCTTGGTTCATATCACAAATCGATACTTATTATAGCACCCCGTTCTGACATGTTTAACCATGTGTCTGCACTAGACCGGTATCGATTCATCTATATACTTAAAAGATATTCGTTAGAACACCTCTAAGTATTATAATCTTGTAAGCATATTTCTGGAATCCTTTGCATTTTCCTGATTTGTACAAGTAATGTTTGCTGATTGTATAGGTTAGAGTTCAGGTTCATACAGAAAAGTTGGAATTGTTGCCTTCTTACTGAAACTCCAACTCTTGGCAATAATTCTTTCTGCTAAAAATCTTATGTATATTTATTTTGTCATCGTCTAAAAACTTTAAAACATTCCGTTTTAGTTATTAACTTTTAGATATTCAACATAAGTTTGAATACATTTCGAATTCCATCACATGACATAAACTACTTACGATTTTCGCGCTTCCAACTTATAATCTTCCATTCTACTATTTATGTTGTGTTAGATATCAAGTGAGGAAGCCATTGAAACTGCAAAGCTAATTGCTTTAAAAGAAGGCCTTCTGGTATCCTAATATTTCTTTTAGAATCATTTCGAAATTATGTTCACTTTGGGTACGAAAATCAAATGTTCGTTTATGCCAAAAGTAACTGTGTTCCCTCTTTAGGTGGGCATTTCGTCTGGTGCTGCAGCAGCTGCGGCAATCAAGGTCGCAAAACGACCGGAAAATGAAGGAAAACTGATTGTTGTAAGTCTATGTTACCATCTCCTATTAATATAGATTCTTAGTTCAAGGTTGAATATTCATAGGCATCTCTTCACTAATTTTCTTTTTTTTTTTTTTTTTTTTTTGTTGGAGGCATTTTAGCTGAAACTCTTCAGCACTCCTCATTGATGATTTTTTCTTTTGTCTTGCTGTTTGGCCTTAGCCTAAAAAGAGTTTGATTTGGTAGATGTAGACTAGCCTACGAGATAGGCTTGACATGTTCATACTCCCACCGTCGATGCCCCGTCACCTTCAGGTAGGTTATAGATTCTGTCCTACGAGGTAGACTTGACATGTTCATGGTCCCACTGTCGATGCCCCGTCATCGTTGGTAGGTTATAAATTATGTAGACTAGCCTACGAGGTAGGCATGACATATTCATGGTCCCACTGTTGATGCCCCGTCACCGTCAGGTAGGTTATAGATTCTGTAGACTAGCCTACGAGGTAGGCTTGACATGTTCATGGTCCCACCATCGATTCCCCATCACTGTTCAGGTATGTCCAGCATAAGATACGAAAAAAGAAATGTTAATGATTGTTTATGCTATAATCACTTACTATGATTAAATGTAACTTAACATGAAATTTTATAGTCATAATTATATTATTTGTGTAATATAATGATTGACCTAGTTGTATGTTTATTAATATGTTATGTTGCCAAATTGTATGCTTACGGTGATATGTAATATGATGTGAACTGCGTAGCTAGGCTGAAACGGATTGACAAATATCTGCAACTTTCTCTCAACTCAAACCAATGTTGAAGTGTTTTTACTGGCAGGTGATCTTTCCAAGCTTCGGCGAGCGGTATCTATCGACTTCACTCTTTGATGCAGCCAGGAAAGAGGCAGAAAACATAAAGTACCTCTGAAGAGACAAATAAATCAGGAAACTGCTTATTAATTTGCTGTCTAGACTTAATAGTAGAATAAGTTGAGAACACAAACTTCCTGTTTGGAGACAAATCACTGGTAGAAAATGTAAATTAGATATGATATAATGAAGCATGATGTACGTTTTGTTAGAGATTTCGAACTCCTTCACATTGGTATGGTATTGTCCTCTTTGAGCGTAAACTTTCATGGATTTGCTTTTGGTTTCCCTACAAGGCTTCATACCTATGAAGATAGTGTTCCTTACTTATAAATCCACTATCTTCCTCTTAAATGGTGTAGGACTACTATCTTTCCCTCGAACAAATTTCATCATAGAACTTTTCCTGAAGCTTATAGAGCTCTCAAATAGCATCTATTTAATCGTGGCTCGACTCCTTTCTTTGGAGCCTTCGAACAAAGTATGTTCTTTGTTCGACTCTTGAGTCACTTTTGACTACACTTTCAAGGCTCATAACTTTTTTGTTCGACATTTGAGGATTCTATTGACATGACTAAAATAGGGGCATGACTCTGGTACTATGTTAGAAATCACGAACCTTCTCAATGATATGATATTGTCCACTTTGAGCCTAATCACCAATGGAGATAGTGTTTCTTATAAACTCATGATTTTTCTCTTGGAACTACTCATTTCAATAATCCTCAACATATCTTACTTGGTATGGTGAGTCGCATGAAAGAACACGATGCTATTTGAGGTTATTGAAAAACCTATGTCCAAAAGCCTACTATTTGAACTTGTGCTAAGGCCATAGAGTGATCGTTTGATTGGAAGTTTTATTGAAAAAAAGTGGTTGAGATACGTGCACAAGTCTTCCACCTATAAATTCTCTCGCATCCCACAAAGACTCATTGTAATAGCATTGAGCAAATGGTATCCGAGCCATCTTTTCAATAAAAATCTCTAAAGTGTTTATCCCATTCTTAATTTTCGAAGTCTACTCCTCATTTTCGGTAATTTTCTTGTCCGATTAAAAACTAAGAAATTTCTCTGTTTGATTCTTTCGTCTGCTCGTCGATAGATGGTTGGCAAATGTAGTGTTCCTAGTAGCAATAAGTCCGTTGATAAGCTCATGTTCCATACTACGAATACTTGAAGCAGGCAAAAGAAGTTCAAGAAGTACGCATTAATCAATTTATGAAGACCACGAAGAATTCAAGAAAGATTCAAATTTGAAGATATCCAACACCATGAATCAAGAGCTTTTGATTGCCAGGATTGAAGGCAAGCTTATGTAGATCCCTAAACCATTTAGGTAACGACCTAGTTTTTGAGGGACTTAAACCATGGATTGTTACTCATTGTCGTGGAAATACGTAAAAATACGTAAAAAAACATTTAAACACGTGCATGTGCATCTAAAATTTAATTAAAATTATAATACAATATTATAAGTTTAGACTAATTTAAAATACACAAAATATAAAAATTTAAAGATAAGTATTAAAGAAAATCTAGACTCAAGTGCGATGGGACTCCCTATGGTCGATAGCTCACATAACGTCTCCACCTCGACCGCTACATCAATCTCCACATGAAATAAAAATTGAAGTAGCAGGGTTGTTTATATAAAATATATTCAGTAAGCAGCTTGATGGTAGTTCATTCTTAAGTCTTATATAAATGAATTTCATATATTCATTATCTTATTTTGCCTCACGAGTTCGTTCTTAATAGTAAGTTCTTCATAGGTTACACCTTAGGTTAGTTTAAGTTCTTAGTTTTTGTTTAATCAAAACATCCAACCCTCACAATCTTTTGGGTTCTCTAGGTCTCATGAATGGTCGTTCTGCAAATCTCTTTTATCATCACCATAATTCCAGACTTGCATCGTAGGTCCTCGAGGCAAGACATTGGTATCAGTCTCGTAGGGTTCATGCATTCTAAGATTTTACCAACTCTCAAGGGTACTACTATGGACCCCTATCGCTCGTGACTAGTTCACTAAAAGAAAACTAATGGGCAAACTTCCTAGTAGTCTCCACAGAGTATAATCATACAATATAAAACATCGTTAGTGATCGTACAACTTCCTTAAAGAACAGGTCTGCAATATGTTTTGCATCATCAGTTTTGTGACAAGGAATAAAATGAGCCATTTTACTAAATCGATCAACCACAACAAAGATGCTATCATAACCTTTCCTAGTCTTAGGTAAACCTAAAACAAAATCCATTGATATATCAATCCAGGGACCATTAGGAACTGGTAATGGGGAGTATAAACCATGTGGTTGAAGCCTAGACTTAGCTTGTTTACATGCTATGCAACGAGCACAAACTTTATGAACATCATGTCTCATTTTAGGCCAAAAAAAATGTTCAGAGAGCATATCATAAGTTTTAGAAACTCCATGGTGTGCCATTAAACCACCTCCATGAGCTTCCCTCACAAGTAGCTCACGTATGGAACAAGATGGTATGCAAAGTTTGTCTTTTCGGAACAAAAATCCATCTAACAACAAGTAATTATCCACAATGAGTCCTTTTTCACAAGATTCAACAAAAGGAGCAAAGAACATGTCATGTTGATACAAATCCTTTATGTGTTCAAAACCCAACAACCTAGCATTCAAAGTATTGAGGAGGACATACCTTCGTGATAAAGCATCTGCAACAATGTTCTCCATACCTTGTTTATATCTTATGACATAAGGGAATGTTTCAATAAATTCTAACCACTTAGCATGTCGTATGTTGAGTTTATTTTGTACTCTCAAATGCTTTAAACTTTCATGATCCGTATGAATAATGAACTCCTTAGGCCAAAGATAATGTTGCCAGGTTTGCAATGCACGAACCAAAGCATAAAGCTCTTTGTCATAAGTTGGATATCTCAAAGATGCACCAGTCAACTTCTCACTAAAGAACATTAAATGTCTTTGATTTTGCATTAATACAGCACCTATCCCTACTCCACTAGCATCACATTCAATTTCAAAAGTAGACTCAAAATTAGGTAATGCAAGCAAAGGAGCAGAACTCAATTTTTCTTTCAAAGTATTAAAAGCAAGTTCTTGATCTTTTTCCCATTTAAAGGATACATTTTTCTTAACAAGTTCATTCAAGGGTGAAGCAATTGTACTAAAATTCTTAATGAACCTACGGTAGAAACTTGCAAGACCATGAAAACTTCTTACCTCACTTACATTTTTAGGTGTAGGCCACTCTTTTATAGCCTTCACTTTCTCCTCATCAACCTCAACACCATTAGATGAAACTACAAACCCAAGAAAGTTAACTTTTTCCATGCAAAAGCTACATTTCTTTAAATTTACATACAAACATTCATTTCTTAAAGTAGTCAAAACATTGCGTACATGGGTAATATGATCATCTAAAGATTTAGAGTAAACAAGGATGTCATCAAAATAAACAACCACAAACTTACCTAAGTATTCTCGTAAGACATGGTTCATTAGTCTCATGAATGTACTAGGTGCATTAGTTAATCTAAAAGGCATAACCAACCATTCATAAAGACCGTACTTGGTTTTAAAAGCTGTTTTCCACTCATCCCCAATATGCATGCGAATTTGATGATAACCCGATTTTAAATCAATCTTAGTAAAAAGACTACATCCATGCAATTCATCAAGCATATCATCTAATCTGGGAATTGGATGCCTATACTTTATAGTTATCTTGTTTATAGCCCTACAATCAACACACATACGCCAAGAACCATCTTTCTTAGGTACAAGAATAACTGGAACAGAACAAGGACTCAAACTTTCACGTACATACCCTTTAGCAAGGAGTTCACTTACTTGCCTTTGTATCTCTTCAGCCTCCTTTGGATTAGTCCTATAAGCTGGTCGGTTTGGAATGGGCGCGCCAGGAATGAAGTCAATCTTGTGTTCAATCCCTCTAAGTGGTGGCAAACTACTAGGCATCTCCTCGGAAAACAAATCTTCAAACTCTTGCAAAAGCACAACAAAATCACTAGGCAAAGAAGGGTTAAGCATGTTAGTAAAGTAACAAGACCCCTTGCACATAAGTACAAGAATAGTCTGGTTAGAGAGCAAAACATTTCTAGCCTCACTTGATCTAACATACAAGCTTACTGATTTGGCTTTTCTCTCTTTTTTTTCTCTAGACTGAGTGTTACTCTCTTGCTTTTCACTCAAGCTCTTTTTTTCACTTGATTCTTTTTCAATCTTTGCTTTTGCATCAGCCTCTTGCCTTTTCTTTTCAAGTTTGCAATGATCAATAAATACATCTTTTGGAGACAATGGGATAAGAGTAGTTTTTCTACCGTTGTGAGTAAAAGAGTATCGATTTGCATACCCATCATACATTACCCGACGATCAAATTGTCATGGCCTCCCCAGTAGTAAATCTCCAACATGCATGGATACAACATCACATAAAACATCATCAACATATTTTCCAATAGTAAATGAAACAAGAGTTTGTTGAGTTACCCGTACTTCCCCACAATCATTCAACCATTGAAGCTTGTAGGGTCTTGGATGTGGTTGTGTCTTTAAATTAAGTCTTTTGACCAGAATGGAGCTCACAACATTGGTGCAACTACCGCTATCAATGACAACACTACAAGGTACAGATTGAACAAGACAACGAGTTTGAAACAAGTTCTCTCTTTGGTCTAGGCCGTCCTCCTTAATGTGGGTGTTTAGAGCTCGTCGAGTAACCAAAGATATATGTGTAGGGTCCTCTTCACTAAACTCCTCACTCTCATCAGTTTCCTCATTTATGTCGTCATGTGCCTCGTCATCCGTAACAATTTCTTCCTCCTTGATGGTCATAATTCTTGCATTTGGGCAATCTCTACTGTAGTGTCCTACGCCTTGACATCTCCAACACTTTAAATCCCTATTTCGAACATTAGACTTTTCTACTTTTTCTTTCCCTGTTCTTGAACTCTCCCCTTTCTCAAATTTAGCTTGAGGCTTCTCATTAATCTCTTGATTTCTATGCTTATAATCAATGTTCTTACTATCCTTTTTCCATATAGAAGTAGAATTGGGAAAAGTTTTAGAAGAATACCGTTGAGACCTTCGTTGGATTTGCCTCTCGATCTTAATTGCAATGTGCAACAACTCCTCAATATTAGAATAAGGCTGTAAATCAGTCTTGTCTGCAATCTCTGTGTTTAACCCATTAAGAAACCGCGCCATGAGAGCCTCCATGTCCTCATCGAGTTCAAGTCGAT